GTCCTACATTTTTTGGCAGGTGGTAAAAAAAACAAGGCACAAATAACTGTTGTAATTCATTTAAATACAGTTGTTTACCCCAGAATTTAGAAGAAGATATTTCTTGGCAAAGAAACATGTTTAGTTTTTTCTTGGCCTAAAATAATCAAATGTAACATCCTCCTTTGCTCTAAACTACATTTTGCTTATTGTTTCTTAACTTGGTTGTTTTGCCTTCACTGAGCAGAGTATGACACTAGCAGGCTGTTGTCACATTCATCTGCTGAAGGAAAAGAGTGTGTGTTTACCAAAAATCAGAGTTTTGAAACATGATTTTAAGACCACGGTTTTGTAACATCACAACGGGTTTGCGTGTTAACTGTAGTCCATTATAAAAGAGTAATGTGACAAGTTATTACAAGAATGGACTTTACTGTGAAGTATGAAATATATTGTAAAGTGTGCAGTAGTTTTTGTGAAAAGATACATATCAGACAAAAATAATCATTCAAAACAGAGGAGTTTAATGTCTAAAGCCATATTGGGAGAAAAGATACAAGTCTGAAAATATTTGTGTAATACTTTAAAACCACCAGTATTAATGTACGTGCTCCTCAATGGGCTCCTTTTTCCAAGCTCAACAAGAACCGTGCATTTCTAATTTTAACATCAGTAGATTTCCAAAATCCTCAAAGAATGTGACCTCTGAGTCCAAACCAGCCTTGCACCTAGTACAAACAGCTCAGTAGACTGAACATGTGAGTCTAAATCTAGCTCATGACATTTAAATGTCATGCTTTGCTGACACCAATTAGGAAATGTTTTTTTCTTGCTTTCCTTTGAGGAAGTAAAAGGTCACGGTCAGCTACAGTAGAAATGGTAGGAATTGTACTGTTGTAGCTCCCGGATGTCTTAGTGCAGACATTGCCAAAACTGGTTCAACCCAGGTAGTACCATTGACTACATTGTGCGGTTTTGCGATAGCCTTTAGGTCATCCAACCCCTGCATTACTCTTTGTTCTGTATTAAGCAGAATGAAATAAATAATAATTGTAACCCAATGTTAACCTTTCTGTTACTCACATCATGACAGCGCCTTTTATCCTCTTTCATTTTTAGTGGTTTACAGTGTGACATGCATGACTTTCAGTATTTCGGGCTCTTTCCTTTAAGAGGTCACAGGCCTGCTTGTGCTGTGCATACAGTAGGATTACATACTTATAAAGGCCGATGACTCTTACCCTCTTTAGCAAACACCCATATCTAATGGCTGCGTCACAGTGTGGCACAATGGAGGCTGGACAGGGATACTAATACTAGTCAAAAGAGGAGGAGAGGCGTCATCCTACCAATGAAAACTGTCCTATCGCTTACTGTGAATCACCAAAGACGTTTCTGGTGAGTAACTGTTTCTTTTTCATTTAGATTTTAACTATTGACTGACAACTTTCATTTTGATTACAGCATTGTAAGCATACACAAGAGTGTGGACGAACAGTTTCCGTCTACCACCTTTGTTTTGTTCAGCCACTTCAAATGGAGATTTCCCCATCCTCGCTAACAGGTAATCATGACAGACCATGTAATAATCTAAATCACTTTATTAATTTAAGTTAGGTAGAGACACTAAACACTTGAACCACATTTGCTCTGCTATGGAGCAGTCTTCAGAAAATTAAAAAAAAAAAAAGAAAAAGACATGTTATACTGTCCAAAAAATGGCAAAAATTAAGAGGTAGAGAATTTAGGCTCATTACTGTGACTCTATTAATGATGCCTATTGGAATGTAAATCCAAAACTCTTGTCATCCCAAAGGTGTATAAAATATTCATACATCAAATATGATGGAGATAGTCATTTTGGGATACCAGGGTATTCACAACATTTACATTTCACTTTAACTGGACAAGATGGACAATGGACAGGTGCTTTTAAGTGTTACTTTGAAAAGAAACATGGAAAGCTAGCATCTTTAATACATTTCCCCCAGTGACTCAGTGTTTGGATGGTGGTTTGCCTGCATTTACAGCCTATCTCGGGTTTTTTTTAACAAATAATTATGGTAACATACATTTACAATAAAAACACCACAGAGCTTGGAAAATAAAAATAGAGAGAAATAAGTGTATTTCCACTTTGTTTCTCCTAAAGCAGCACATTCTAAATGTGTCACAAATGTTAGTTCAAAGCAGGACACTGACTTCCTCATTCACTTTCATATTAGGGATTAGTCACTGCCGCCCTGAAATAACAGGACCATTAAAGCGACTGTGTGTAACTTAAGCTAGCGCTAGTGTGAAACTCCATTTCAATCTGCTCTGCTCCGCCCAGCGCTCCCTCTCCCTGCTCCACTAAGACCTGCTACTCTCTGCCATGCTCTGCCCAGCTCTTCACATATTTATTGTTATGAAATTATAAGAAAGGAGAATGCAGCAAAACTTAATGATCAAGCAGAAATAACAGAAAATCTGATTGTTAGGTCAGTCCCACTCAAAACCTTTTAGAAGCCAATACCTCTGCACTGCTGTTTAGTGCTGTTCAGTGAGTCTGGGTCACAGGAGGCTTTGACAGCACCTCTCCACAAGCGACAGCGTGGAATCCCATTAAAAACTGAAAACTGGAAAGTTAAGTCGGCCACAATCAGGCCATTAAATATCCCACCTGGAATGCGTAGACTTCATTATTAACATATACGCTACATGTCTGTAACTTAAGTATTTAACAAATATAGGATATGGTAAAGTTTAATTAATGTGAAATATTTTTCTTACTTTATTATAAAATGGCACAAGGTACAGTAAAATCAGAGCTGTATTGGGCTGAAAACCAATTTCCTGACTGAAGATGAGCCTCTGTGTGGGGAGATGTTGGCCATCGTGAAAACGTTGTGTTGAACCTTCCTACACAGAGAATGCTGGCATTGTAGAGAAATCAGAAATTACAGTGCATGTCTACAAGAAATAAAAGTGAAAAAACGGTTGTACTGTTTGTACAGTAACATACTGTATAGTTGCACATTGACACTAGATAAGGCTGGTGACTACATTATGTAAATAGTTAATTACTGGATACCTTTTCTGTATGATTTTAAAACTAGTGACAGTATATAGATTTTTTTTAAACAAACTTAAAAAAAAAAGACAAAACAAAGTCAAATAAATCCTTTCTGTAGTACACAGCTTTCTTTGTTCCAGAGGAACAATATGGTAAACCTTTGCATTTGCTCAATGCAAGTGCACTGGCCTAGATTCAGTCTTTTCTCCATTCTCATCTTCAGTGGTTGTTTCCTCATGCTTGCAGGTTTATATATGCCCGATTGTGTTGCAAACAGTGCCCCCTAGATCCCATTTTTTGCCTCATTGTTGTTCATGGCCTCCTTTCTTTGAGCTAGGAAGGGGTACATGCACTTATCGGCACCTAGGAACCGGTACATGCACACAATGGCCTCGAAGGGGAGGATGCTGCAGAGACAGGACAGAGATAAGATTAGGGACTTGAGGTATTCCTTTACAGTTTAGTGAGTGCTGAAGGGGAAATGAGGGGATGTATACTGAGGAAAACAGGACATCAGATCACCTTTTCATTAAGCTGACCATATAAACAATGCGAGGCGTACAGATCATGGGCTGGTCAGTGAGGATGGCTCTCATGGCCTGTTTCACACAGAACTCTGGCTTTAAGGGAGGCAGGAAAGGCTCAATCTCCTTCCTGAATGGAAGGAAAATCACACACATCCGTTTGGTTATTGACAGGCTGAACAGAAACTTTACACAAACTGGTTGAAAATGTGAACTCTATGTTAAGAGGGCTAAATATGTTTTATTTAAATCACCTGGGAACTCTGGCGGAAAAGGCTTTCAACAAGTTGATACTTTACTATTTAAAGTGCATTTCATATTCAGTTTTGTGTTGAAGCTAACCTTATCCTGCAGCCTTTGAACATTCCCGTGTCAACAAAGTAAGGGCACACCAGAGTCATGTTGATGCCGTCCTTCTCTAAGGCCTTTAGCTCATGGCTCAGTGACTCGTGGAACCCGATGGCACCAAACTTACTGGCGCAGTAATCCTGAGTGAATAAGAGAGAACAGGTTAGCCCTGTCAAACCCTGTCCACACCCACACCCAGGGACCACAGAGAACATTTTCAAACATGTCCCACAGGCACAGAGGGCTCTCCTTGCTGTTAATGATACAGCCACAAAAACCAGAGTGATGTTCTACAGTTTCATTGGCATACTTCTCCTGTGCATCAAGAGACTGCTCGCCATGGCAGGAAGGTTTTGATGTGGTTCACCTTAGAAATAATCTTAAAAAAAAAAAAGGCTAAGGCAAACAGATGCATTTATAAACATGAATCAAACTGAGATTTGACTGTGCACAAACAACAAGTGAGGACTTTGGTTCTCTGAAACTAATCCAAAATCACACTTAAGGCATTTCCAGGAAGCATAATGGTTCAACAAAAACTAAGTACACTTCAGTTTCTTGTAGGGGAACTTAATCACTCTAGATGAATGCATGTGTGTGTAGCATTAAAAACAAAGAACATTGGAGTAGTAGTCCCTACAGACTGTCAGTAGGGTAAATGAAAACTGTTCTTGGAAGCATCAAAATAAAACTCTCTAGGAGGCCTACCAGTTTACTTCCTGTGTGGTTATAGAGAAAAATGACCCCACTTAATGTTTTAATATGCACTAAAGTAACAAAAAGAATCTATACTGGAGAAGAATCAATTAATTCAGGATGGAAAACTAAAAACTTATCCACTGAAAGTTGTTGTGAGCTGAATACTGAGTGAGCACCAAGTTGTTCACAAAGCATTGATGAAGATGTCTCTGTCCCTTGGGGAGCTGTCAGCTCATTCTGGCCTCAGGGCCAGAGCACACACACAGCTGCAAATAGAGAAATCCATAAGGGGCTTCCCAATGTTCAGATGTGTCCTTTAATTTAATGGGTGGCGAGACAACTAAAGAAAGGGGGCCTAACCTCCCCTGGCCCAGTATGCTAGCTGGCACGCTGATGGCTTTGAAGAAAAGCGCTGGTTTTGGTTGGTGGGAACGATGGGATGTGTATGCCTTGTTGTGTATGATACTAACCTCCACTCCAGCTGTGCTGAATAAACCCAGGGAGCTGGCAACTGTCACAATGTGGCCATGATTCAGCTCCAGCATCTTGGGGAGAAACGCCTTGGTGGTCTGGGGGGAAGGACAGAAGACACAGAAGGACAAAGGGAGGGAAAAAATGAGGAAGGTTAGTTCACTTGTGCAGTTTGTCTGTGCCAGAGCCCTCTGATCCTCTCTGCTTCCCTTCTGTCCCCCACCTCTCCATGGTGATTCAGAGACCGGCATCTGAATGAGAATTCATAACAGCTACAATAACAAAAAAAAAAAAAAAGAATCAGACTGAGCACTGAGGTGCAGCATCTAAATGTATAAAATTAACAAGTTATGTTTTCTCCTTGTGGCAGGTGTGGATTAGAGGGAGGCAAGACAAAAATGAGGCTTTTCCCCTCTACAGGTATTCACTGAACATTGAGGTATGTGGTGTGTGCTGCTGTACAGGCCGTTCTTTTCCCACACAGATCTGGTGCCCGTTGTTGGGCCCGGCTATAAAGACTTTGTTACAACACAAATCATATTCGGTTCACTCAACACTTGCAACAGTACAGTTCGGCCTGTCATCCACCCACACAGCCTCACGCCCTGCCCGAGGAGCAGTTGACAGAACAATCGGTAGAGAAATGAGCTTTGAGATAAAAGAGTTTCACCAGAGTGCCACGTGAGAGCCTGAGTGGTTCCACAGCCCCCATCCAATGAGGGTTACAGAGGTGGTGAGGAAGAGCAACAACAGAAGAAGGGGGTTCAAAGAAAGACATTTAGCGATTAACCTATGGATCCATTCCAAGTTCTGCGTGTCTGCTGAATATGGAGCTGCCTTGGACACAGCATGAACCTATCAGCAGGTGTGACGTGACAGCAGTGATAGGAACTGACCAATCACTCTCCCACTGGGAGGTCTCCAAACAACGTGCAGGCCTTTTGTTGGGAGTGGAGTCACATCCATTCAAGGCCTGAGTGAAGAACAATACATGTAGCTGACAACACTTGCTCTTAGATTACCAACACCTTTATATTGAGATTACCAATAGTGCTGTGACAATTTGTTGATATATTGATTAACAAAAAAAGGCAGACGATTAATTAATGTCAATTTTGATAAGCAAAAATGCCAGACCCTGTGTAAAATTTGTGTAAAATGTGGTACCTCAGAGTTTTTGTAAGCTGATTTAAGATGTCACTCTGGGCTTTTAAAAAAATATGGTCAGCGGTTGTTACCATTTTTGGTTTCATTCCCAGTTTTCAGTAATACTTTGGTCATATAAATGAAAATTAACTGTTCCATTGGCTGGTACAGTATGCAAACCTGGCCAAAGAAATGACTCAGCCTACTTCCAAAACATCTGCTGGAGGGGAGCGCAGAGCAAGAGAGAGCACGGTACCAGGTTGTACAGCCGAAACCGCAGGAAAGGAAAGGAAAGCCTTAAAACTGCATCTGACTTCAACTACCATTTTACATCAGTATTTTGATGTCTCCTTGTTTTGTGAAGCAAATGAAGTAAAATCTATGCAGAGAAAGGCTGGTTTGATATATCCACAGACGGTATAACTGATTGGATTCAGCTCTAAACATCTGCACTTTTCCTGGACATACATTTTCAAGTTACTGCAGTATTAAATTCATCAAATGATGGGGCCCAAAGAGGGAGCAAGAGAACAGGGGGTGTGGGCAAACACTGAGAAAGGCCTCTGTGAGCCAGAATGGCAGCGGATGAGGAGGGGGTTGCGTGCATATGACGCATTTACTTAAGATATGCCCATACCTGACTTCAGCCCAAGTTTCCCACTCAGGGAATGACTTGATCTGGCACAATAATCTACAACTAATGCCAACACCCAGACACAACCAGACAACTTTGTCTAGTGGTCTGGAAATAACCGGAACTATAAGAGAAGGTTGATTCCCTCAGCTGCAGGACAGAGCTCAATGTGGCCAACCATTCATCATTCAAACCATTCTGTGATGCCCTGCTTCTTATGGCCACTCTGGCATGTGACGTCTGACCCCTGCTGACCTCTCAGACACAAAATGTGTGAAGACAACCAGGGGTTCGTGTCTTATAGAGCTGCAGTAATTGGGTCTCACCGCTCTCTTGTTCTGCTAAATTACCCACTGACACAGCCAGGCCTCCTTGGCCTATTTGGAGGTGCCATGCCAGCTACACTCCCTAATTGCTGTGTACCTCCAGGAGCATTTAAGCCACAAAAGCTTATTGCAGCTGGGGTGTCAGGCTGAATTAGTGCTAGTGGCTGACCAACAGGAATATGAACAAAATATTGGCCTTTGTGTATGACCACATGGCCATTTAATGAGTGCTTCCTGGAAAAGAGAATAAAGGAGAGAGAGTAAAAAATGCACGTGCTCAAGAGCGTGTCTGATCCTACAGCACATCATGGAATTTGAGTAGGTTGGATTTAGTGGTCATCACAAATGATGTTGCGATAGCAATGCTGGTCAATCAACCTCCACTACAGGTGACTAAACCTCAGCCTCCCCATGCTGGTTGTTCAAATGGAACCCAATTTCCTGGGAAAGCAAACACACCAGTAGTCCAGGGCGCACAGTGTGCAATACAACGTGTGAACAAGGCTTCTAAAAAAATTTAAACATAAAAAATAAACACAATTGGGCCCCTTGATCTTATTGTCTGGACATTTGTGCACAAGGTCGACCCACTCTAGCTAATGCCTTTATCTCTATTATTTTAAGTCACTTCTTGACGTTTTTTCCATATGGATATTAACTAGTCTATTGAAAAACTTTGGCCTCATTTAACCCCTTGTTAAGAATGACTTCTATAATGTACAGCTATATGCATAGATATAGCTATAGTTGTCCACTGTGATAAAGTGTTAGTCATTGATCATAAGATAAGACTGAACCTAAATGGCAACTTTTCTTTTTCCACGTCCATGAAATTTGGGATTCTTCCTGTTCTGTTAATTTAACCCCAGACAACTGGCATAAGAACACAAGATATCACCCTTGGGCTCTGGGGAATTATAATGGGCATTTTTCACTAGTAGGTTGCAGCCATAATCCCATATTTTGTGCTCAGGGACAGATCAAACATGGGAGTAGTCATGGCTAGCTCCAATGAGGGGTACAGGTGCACCAGGCCTGAGGAGGGGCCCAGCAGAACCTGGCTCCATCTTGTCAAGCCAATCCACAGACAATAAAGTAATTGTCAGATAAAGTGGGTCAGCAGCAGCTTACCATTACCCTCTTGCCTATCCTGTGGATGGGCGATGGGATGGCACCGTCTTCCTTCCTCTTTTTTTTTCTCTGCTCTTTTCCCGCCAAGTCACCATCGAGTGCTCTGCACTTTCATGTCAGTGCACAAGAGAAGTAGGCTCTCCACAAGCTGCTTATTGTTCATTAACCACCTGTTAGTTAACCAGCTCAAGATGCTGAGGATGATTTCCTTTCATGTCATTCCACTAGACACACACTAATCTTCAAACTCTGGTGACACACAGTTTTAGTCATACTGGAACAGGGAATGAAGGTGCAATCATTTCACTGATGATCAAACATCACAAATTGCTAGTTGGACTATTCAAAGCACCATGTGATGAACCCCCAGACAAATAAAAAGACACTGAAGAACTGAATCATAACTATTAGTCCATGTTTCTGTGCGAGTGTGTGTGGCAGAGCCAGATGAACAGAGCTGGGTTCTGAGACTCCCATGCAGCTGCACCCACTGCCTCCAAATAAGACTGGGAGGAGTCAGAGAGGCCTGTAGAAGGAGGCTACTCACTCCTCGGAAAGCTGACTCCCCACAATTTGTGTGTGCGAACAGGTTTCAGTCACCACAGTGTGAGTAATACCAGCCATGCACACATACACACAGAAACATAATTATAGTCAATTTCCTATTCACACCTCCATCCATCCCTTATTCCCATTTCACTGCCCAACAAATGAGAAATTGCACAAAATAAACAATCTTTCTTGTTCTTCATCTGGTCTCCGTACTAAGTGATTTATTTTATAAGTAAGCTTTGAAACTGATGTTATGTTGGTTTGAGAAAAAGGCAAGAATAATGAGATGTTTTACTTGCTGACAATGTTTCTTTTATGTCTCCCAGATTGCCTAAAGTCATGTTTTGTCAAACTGTGACACTGGATAAGATATATTAAATGAACACACAAGAAGAATGCACCCCAAGTCATTTATGTTCACTGTTAAAGCTTAAAAGTTTGCTTCTGTCAAATAAAGAGATTTCAATAGGTCTCCAACTGAATCTCTAACTTTAATAGTTTGCAAAAAGCATCCTCATAATATGCCTTTATTGTCCGAACTATCAAAGCATCTGCCTCAATAAACAGTTTAAATTCCACATCAAACTTTGCATGACTTGACTAAGCCATAACTGATGTTTGTTATGTCATAAACCACAGTTAAGCTATTTTAAGAACCTGTTGTTCAGAAAGGAAAAAGCAAAAATCAAAGGTTTGAGTAACATAGCACCTGCATGCAATGAGCAACCATACCATGTTTGTGTAAGAGACCAGTGGACGGGCCCTTGTTAGTCTAAGCTCTATTCATCTAGCTTGTGTCTTTAATGAACCACATCCTCCATTTGACTGTCACCATTCATTAAGTCCTTCTTTCGTCTGCTCCCCCCACCCCTAAAGAAACCACACTCTCCAAAGCATAGAAGGTAAGACACAGATCCCTATTAGGCAACCAAATGTGCCACCCAACCACCGGATCCTGACTCCAAATCATGGATGTAAAAGAACGTGGAGACAGCCAACAGAGAGGCACATGAACACTTGAACAGAGCATCCATTAAGGAGGAAATACACAAACTGTCTGACTGACAACAAAAGAGATTTCCAGGCCCAGTTAAGGAGTTTCAAATTACTGTGGTTTCATGGTATCTGTGAAAAGAAGAACCTGCAGCCAAAGTCTCAAAATGAACATCATCCGCATCACTTGACACATTTGTCAATTCAGAGCCATGCAGCTAAGAAAAAGACACTTCCAAGTCTTGTAATTTACTCCACGCCAGGCCTGTAAATCAATTTGTGCGCAATTGCTGCAATTGTCCCAAACAGGTGGCTGTAACCAAGCAGTGCGATCGCTTCCTTAATGGTTTACTTAAAACTGGAGCAGAGGGGCTAACATGCTAAACATCTAACTGCATTAGTGAAACTGCTCTTCTTATTGCTGTGACAGGCGCAAACCATTGCCTTTCCACAACCCTAAAACACAGCTGTGACAGCACCTGCTCTGTATAACACAGCAGTTTATGCTTATTTAAAGTGCAACATATTCAGTCCATCAAGTCCTTGTTTCAGGCAAGTTTCCACACTGAGGAAGGAACAGAGCCAGAGTAAAATCTGATACACAACAAATCACCGCCTGCCAACAAAATGTGGTGAGCTGATCCGAGACAGATCCAACCCACATACAGAACCCTGTGCATCCATCACGCAAGTCAGATTTATACAGATCTGCACAGCAAAGGGGAGGAGAGGGAAGGACTAACATACCATGGGGATCATCGCTGAGTGGGGCTGCCAAAGAGCAGAGTCAAGGCTTAAAGACAAACCTGTGACTTTCTTCTGGCAAAAGCTATGCATACTTTCTCTCTGTCCTGCACACACACACACACACACACACACACACACACACACACACACACACACACACACACACACACACACACACACACCTTTAAATCCTCACTCTAGCACACAGAAGAATAACACTATGAGCAGACATGCAACTCAGAGTGGAAACATTCCTGTGAACCTGGTATCACAATAAAAACACTGTACTCATAGAAACCGAGGCAGATACATCAACCCATCATACAGTATTTTACTGTAAGTCCTATTAAAACCATACACAATCAAATGACTTTGACTTTTAGCTAAGTTGTCATGCTTAATTGCCTGTGCTTCAACTCACCCAGAAGTGTGCATGGCAGTTGACCACCATGGTGCGTTCGATCAGCTCATCAGGGCACTCTAGAAGGTGATGGCCAGAAACCACACCGGCATTGTTGATAAGTATGTCCACCTCTCCAACCTCTCGCCGGACCTTCTCAGCTGTGGAATACACACACTCCCGCTTTCCAACATCACACACATAAGTGTAGACCTGTGGCTGGAAAGGAGGGACCTCCTCTACTCCTCCAACAGGTCCTACAGGGGAAACGAGATTGAAACAGAAAGGAATAAAAGGATGAATGAAATGTTTTTCCCAGTAGGCTGATTCAGATTAAGCCAGTTATTTATTTATTTTTTACCAACAGGCTAATTATGAATGGCTGAGATATTAGATGGCCGTTTGAAATGCCGGTCATTGTATTAGGCTGCATAAATTACTGTCAAATTAACTGAAGGGATAAATAATAGAAGACCACATGAACAAGTGTTAAGAAAACAGACTTTGAAAATCTGAGATTGTGTGCGAAGATGCCTGTCAGACGCTGCATCTTCGTTCACGATCTTGCCATTTCAGGATGTTCACTGAAGCACACTGCCTAAAAATAACACTGTAGCTTGCAGCTTCGAAATCTACATTTATTACCACAGAGACAGAACAGAATGCAATTTCAGAATAAATCCGGATGCCATCATAATTGCTGCAAAGAAATGAGTCTTACCGTCTTTGGTAACGGGAGGGTCAAGTTCACGGTATATCTGCCGCACCATCTCCGCCGTTTCCTCGTTGCTTTGGCAGTTTATGTCCCATAAAACCAGTATCGCTCGTCTCCGGGCGAACTCTTTAGCGAAGAGACGTCCGAGGCCGCTTCCAGCCCCGGTGATCACGCACACCTGTCCGGCCACGCTCTTCTCCTTGGGGCGCACGATCCATTTAGCCCCGGCACTTACAAAAGCCCAGAGCACCTTCAAAATGACCACGAAAAACTCTGCAATAATTATTATCATTTTGATCGATCTTTCAGTAAATTCGAGTAGCAGCGGCAGACACGGAGGAATGCGACCCCTTTGCAGCAGAGGGGCACAACTACACCGATAAACGTGGCTCACAGCGCAGTCAGGGAACGCTAACAATGATCATCAACAAAAGTGGCAAAAAAGGGACAAGCGGGGCCACAACCTATGGCTGAAAAGAGTTCAGAAGCTGCGTCTCAGAGCTCTGTTACCACTACAACGCACGGTTGCCACGAGTGACGCACAGACACTATGATTTGTGCTTCCCTCTTCGTCTGCCGCTCCTCCACTCATCTCATCCCCAGCCGCAGCTCACTCGCTATTTATTCAGTCCACCCATCAGTGCTGGACCCAATAGAACTGGGACTTGAGCGCCTGTCAGAGAGCAGCGTCAGGTCCAAACAATGCGTGTGCATGTTTGTGCATTTAACCTAAAAGACTGGACTTGTTGAAAAACGTTTTCCACTTAAAGATCCCAAAGGAAGATCAGAGATAAGCATTTTACACCGTTTAAAAGTCGCTGCTTCTTCTTTCTGGCTTAGATTTAGCTACCAGATACACAAAGAAGATCCTTGTTTCCTACTTATGAAGAGTACTGAGGAATAATTGGATGCTTAGGCTTACTACCGATGCGAGGATTTCATAGCCACAGATCAGATAATATCTTGCAAGTGCAAGTTTGTGTCCATCCAACATGAAACTAAAGTATGTGTATAAATATGTGTCAGTTGGCATATTGTTTCATGTGAGCTCTGTATGATGTAGGCGACAGAGAATGAAGAATATGCACATTTATTTGTTTTTATTTATTTTATTTATTCACATGTTTCTCCCCTTATTTCACATGCACTTTCAATGTTTTGCAGCATCTTGCAGCAGCCTTGGAGATGTTTACCCATGTTTTGGGGTCATATCATTGGAGAGGGTGGAAGAATTTTGAAATCATTACTAATGTATTACTAATGTAATACCAAAATGTGAATACTGCATTCAGCCAAAGTCCTTTATTTGACATGTTACCTCAGAAAAACAATGTTAGGCTATATAAAAAAAAGTAGATCTGATTATTATGACGTTCCCTTACATGGCGTTATTAATGGGTGTTCCTGTTGGGTAGTCTGATATACTGTAGCTCAAGATTAGTCCTATTACATTGTGTATATGAATTACATAAAAATGTTTTGATACAAATATTTGAGTAAGATTCTGCAAAGAAGAGAAAAATAAGCTATAAAGTATAGCCTAAAATGGGAACATTCAAGTAAAGTAAAAGCGTGACAGAGCTGTTGGCTTTACTTGGGCCCCGCTTTTCAATCTAATTGTGTGATTTTTGAACAGATGTATTTGGGCTTTAAATTACAAATGGCACACATAGCCCTAAAACATATTGTTTCTTGTTTTCACTGATGTGCATGACAATGCCTTTGTCTGACAACCAGCAGTACACACCGTGGTGTTTATCCCCACTGAGATCCAGCGGAGAGATCAGCACAGGAGACTCCCCACTACACAGGCTCGCTGAACGTGGCCTACAAAATAATGTGTTTGCGCCCTCTGCCGGGTTAGCGAATGAATGACCTCACCTGTGGCATGAAAATTGGAGAGGTAGCCCATAAAATATTTTACTAAACCATGGTACTTCATGAAAATAACAAATCTGAGATGAAAATATTCACGGGAATGGCATAATTAACATTTTATAGTAACGTTAGTCTTACGTTAGCTTTGGACTTACCATTATTTGAATAAAAGAAACGACACTGTATGCCTACATTTAAGAGCCATTCAACCAAAAGCATTTTAAAAATGCACAATAGCGACTTCATACCACATTTTTTCAGGAAATATAAAAATTTTCATTTTGCTATCCTTTACTAGACATTGACAAGTCAGGCAGCTGGAAGAACAGCCCGCTGGGGTCCTAAAATCCTTAACGTGCACATGCGCAAAAAAGAAATCCTCTTCCTCGGTGGGCACCATGGCGGATACCGAGTAAGTTTCGTCGCTGCCTTCAAATCTAAGTCCATCAAGTGTTAAAATAGTATTTTTTGTTAATCTTACATCCTGGACAGGTTGCTTAGATTAAACACATTATAGTCCGAGTAGTATTGTTGAGGATTGTGATATTTATGGTTATTAGACTCCTTTGTGTGGATTTTGTGTAACCAGCTAGCTAAGTGTAACATGGCTGTTTCTGTAGTCCTCATGCCTGCAAGAGGCTAATTTCTGTGCTAATAACGAAAACAAAGTTAGCTGTTAATCGTAAAAAAACGTTGACTATTCATGTGGTTATTGTTATTTGAACGTGGTTTGTGTGGAAGCCGGTTAATGACAGGCTACTTTGCTAGACGTTTTCAAACCTGTACTTCGTTTGCACTAGTCCACGTTAATTTGTAAACTTTATTGCTTTCTTTTCGCACAGACAGGGTTCTAGTGAGATAAAACGCAACACTACTAATTATTTGAGGACATTCCTTCCCCTAAATGAATATGAGGCAGTACGAGGACGTAAACATGGCCATCCAATGAAAGGGATTTGTCCTCGTTGCAGAGACAACGGTTAAATTAGCTTTAACACTAAGGGGGAAAACGTACCAGAGTTAGGTTCAGCCGGACTAAACAATGCAGGTGTGAAAACACCCTTCATACCCAAAATGAACTCTCTGCGGGTGGGTATTATGGGTGCTTACTCAGTTTTATATTTCTTCAACAGAAAAAAGGTCCCGGCTGTCCCTGAGAGCCTTTTGAAAAGGCGGAAGGCCTTCGCCGCCATGAAGGCTAAGCGTATCAAGAAGATGCTGGCTGAGAAAAAGGTAATTCATATTATTGTATTGAGTGGTTTAAAGAACGTGTTCTAAGCTGAACCCTGGGATTAGAGTCAGTCTTCACCAACTGAGAATAGAGGATGTATTTGTTGTGTTTTAAGGTCCGCAAAGTGACGAGGAGACTGATCTACAAGAGGGCTGAGCAGTACCACAAGGAGTACAGACAGATGTACCGGCGTGAAATCCGCCTGGCCCGTACAGCTCGCAAAGTGGGAAACTACTATGTTCCATCTGAGCCCAAACTGGCCTTTGTTATCAGAATCAGAGGGTGAGTAGCGTCCACTATCAACAGAGCTGTCATGCCTGTTAGTGGTATTTACTTGTGTTGCAAAAGTTCCTATACAACAACTGGAAATCTAGCAGTTTACATTGGCAAAACTTTTCATGTTCCTTTTCACATGCCATACTGTCACCTGCTTACTGACTGGACATTCCCCTTACACAATACTTTGTCTTCAGTTCTAAATGAAGTTGGTTCCAGAACCTAAAATTTGTAAAAGTTCAGTTTAGGTCCTGTGTGTATAATGCAATTAAATGTAAATGTCATTCTTCAATGTTCTAAAATTTGTTGTTGTGTGGTTAATGATGTGCTCTTTCCCCGACATATCGACTATGGTGAAACTGATGTGTAAAATTAAGCCAATTATATTCTGAAACCACAATCAATACTGTAATTTTAAAAGCTGTTTCCAGATGTTAAACCATATGCTAATCAGAATCCCCATTTGTTTGCCAGTATCAATGGTGTCAGCCCCAAGGTCCGCAAAGTGCTGCAGCTGCTCCGTCTGCGCCAGATCTTTAATGGTGTGTTCGTCAAGCTGAACAAGGCTTCACTCCACATGCTTAGGATTGCTGAGCCCTACATTGCTTGGGGGTAAGAATATTTTTGTTAGCTGTGTAAGAAAAATACAAATTAGAGCTTGACCTGGTCCGTTTTAAGTTTTCTGAAGATGAAATGGGCTGAAAGCCAATAATATCTGTCTGGAATGTGGTTAATGATGTTAAACTTTTTTCCCCGTCTTATCGACCATGGTGATTACTGACTGAAACTAAGCCAGTTTTGCTGAAACCACATTCTCTGATAGTAAAAGGTTCTACTTAATGTGCAGTATTTACATCTGTATTTTGAATATTAATTTTAAATAATGAAAATATTATAAGGACTAACCAATTCCTCAATTGGAGACAAGCCACAATATGCATATGCTCTTGTGTTGTCCTGCTTTAACAGTCTTATCTCAAATCTCCATAAAATATTATACACAGGTGTATAATGTACCTAATGTTTTATTGGTTGTTATGTTTACTTCAAGAGGACTAGAAATTTGCAAGTACTGTTAAACAGTAGACCATTGTCAAATTAATTGCCTGAAATGAAAGCATAGTTTCAAAAAGGCAGAACTAAAAGCTTGTGATGAGTAAAAGATGAAAATGTGATATGATCTGTGGATGTTTAATGCTGCGGAGTGTTGCTGTAATAGATGAAATTTACTCACTTTTACTTGTGCTTAATGGTGCTACAGATGCATAATACTTTGTATAAGAAGACTATAGTTGCCTCTGTGAAACCGTTGTTTTTGAAGTGCTCTGTAAACTTCCTGCTAAGTTATTTAAGGAAACACTAATGCCTGTAGGATATAACCCATGTGCAAATCTTAAGTTGTTGTGAAATGCATTTCCTCCCCTTAATATAGTCTTTATTGACATTTTGTACCCTCAGATACCCAAACCTGAAGTCTGTGCGTGAGCTCATCTACAAACGTGGTCATGGCAGGATCAGGAAACAGCGCATTGCCCTCACAGATAACGCTCTGGTGGAGAAGGCCCTCGGTACACAAATGTTATAGAGAATTGGAGATTTGTTTTTGTCCTACAGTCCACAGTATGAAGTGAAGATTTTGCTAGATGAAAACCTAATTAGTTTATTATTCCTCAGTAGGAATTAGCAATAGGGTATACTTTTACTCTGAGCTACTTCATTTTAAGTAAGACCTGTTCCTATGGTATTAAGTGTTATTCATTACTGCCACAAAGCAGTATGGAAAGCACAATCACAACTTAACGACATGTTTATGCTGAGACTGGGACACTTGCATGATAACTGCAGACAAGTAAAACCAAGTTGCTCAGAACTGAGTTTTTTCCTCTGTTGATAATTCATGTTAACTCTTCCTGTCTGTGTCAAATTTAAGAGCATCAAAACTGTTGTTAACTGTGTTCAACACATTTGCTTTTCACTTGAAGGCAAATATGGCATCATCTGTGTGGAGGACCTCATTCATGAGATTTACACAGTTGGAAAGAACTTCAAACCCGCTAACAACTTCCTGTGGCCCTTCAAGCTGTCGTCACCCCGCGGCGGTATGAACAAGAAGACCACCCACTTTGTTGAGGGAGGGGATGCTGGCAACAGGGAGGATCAGATCAACAGACTGATCAGAAGGATGAACTAAAGCTTGTGGTGAGTTGTAAGAACATTTTCAGGCCGTCAAAGTAGACGTAGACCATGTGGTTAATGATGCGTAATCTTTTTTCCCCATCTTATCGACAGTGGTGAAAACCATCTGAAAATAAGCCAACAAAGTCTGAAACCACATCTTGGTCATTACCTTTTGAATTATGCACCACAGGTGCTTCACTCTGTGCAGTGATGGCAAATTCAACTTAATTCCAACAATTTCAAAAGCACATTGGAGTCATTTTAAGCAATGTTGTGATCCCAATTAATCTCTAACATTCTATTTTAATCTTTTGAACATGTTTCTTTTAATCTGATGACAAATGAGGCAGTCGTGAATAGTTTCCACATCTGTAACAATATAATTTTTTTTTCTTTTTTCAGGCTTTCAAAGGATAAAGTAAATAAATCTTGAAAAACAAACCTGTTTTTGTCTTGTATTGAATGTGATATGTGAGTCAGAATGCTATCTCATGCTGCAACTTTTTCCCCGTTCTCAGAAGTTCATATGTGGCATCTGAAATGACAAGAAGGTAATATTATGCAACTATAAACCTAAGTATACCATTGCATATAAACAATAAAAGCCTTCTATAAATGCTGTAAGATTAAAACTTTTCTGATGCTAAGACTGTAGAAAATCTTATCTTTCAATGAGCCCAGTTACCTAGTCTGTAGCTCCTGAGACTTTGTTTCAGGGTTGCGGGTTCGAGCCCCACCCTGGACAGTAATGTTAGACAATGACTTTTCTCTAGGATTCCTGTTCCAGCGGAGTGTCTCAGCAGGCCACAGGATGTGTACTGGCCTATAATGTATATTGTGTGGGAAAAGGCTGCCATGTTACTTAAAATAACTAGAAATAAATACTTAAAGGATCCCGTGGTCATGGCCCTTTATGTATTGGTTATTGTTGAACGAATCCCGGGTCTTGAATATGATTTACGCAATGCACCAGTTAAGTGGCACTAGTTAATTAGTTAAGTAACGGAGAAGGCTTGTGCACGTTTAACGGTTCCTGTCGTCGTTACCCTGGTTACGCGAACACTCGGTAGCGTTTACCACCTGGAGGTGCAACCTGACAGCTGCTGAGGAATGACTGATTCGATACAATCTACCATTATCATTACAATGTTATGTCCAAGATAAGTTTTTGTATGGCAACTCCAACATGATGATTTTCCAGGTAAACTCTTCGCTGCCGACATTAAAGGCTTCAGTTTCGTTGAGAAGCTCAAATTCCGAGCAGTGCGGCCTTGATACGGCGGGACGTAAAGAAGACATCAGGATTTTCGGGATGGGCTCAGGTGGAGGAACTACCTTCCTGCAAAATAGTCTTTTGACGATGAAATTCCCTCTGATACAACCTTTGAGCAGTGAGTAAGCATGGTGCCTGTATGTGCTAATTCAGATGGAGTTAGCTTCATATTTTGGTTTATGAACTCTGAAAACCATCTCTGTTTTAGAGCCAAGGTAACGGAGAGCCATGGTTAGCCACCTAATAGTTGCAGGCTATGCATTTGGTCAAGATCCGGAAGAATAGTAGTTTTCAGTAAATGCGTTTATCGGTAAACCTGCATTCCCTAAAAGAGTATCTTGATAGCGCAGCGTTGTTCTGTGCCAGCATAATGCTAATGGGCACAAATGACATCCTACCAGCACAAAAATGTCCATCCATCCCATACTGGATGTTGCAGAACACAAACTTGGTATGCAGTAAGTGGATTATAATACTCCATAAAAGGCTTCTTTTAATTATGTCAGCATACACTTGAGAAAGGATCTAAGAATAATCTCCCATAAACTATAGTGTAGCCTATGTGTCGTTCAACTTTTTAAAATGTGTTGTTGGCATGGCAGGGTTTTTTATTTTTATTTCGGCCAATGTGTACCGTAGGTCACTTAATGTCAAAGAGGACAAGCTGAAAACTGAAAACCTGGTGCAGGATGATAATTGTGGGCAATTTGTTTTAATGAAAAATGTAAGAATTTGAGAATGATAGTTTAGAAGAGATTTTGAGGCAATATACTGATCACTATTGGCCTATATATAATGTGGAACCAGTGAATTTGAGCCTTGTGTGTGGACTGTGTTCTGACATCCAGCAGATGGCGGTATCATCATACATGTTGAGCACAAGCCGGTTTCAGTAACTGCAAGTGTAACATTAGAGCAGCTTGGAGATATTGCACCATAACTCTATTTATGAAACCAATACTTAAACCTTATCATATTCTCTTTTCTTTTGAAATATTTTTAGGCTATCCCTTTTGAAAACTACTGTCTTATCAGATGCTCTTTTTGACTGGCTAAATACAATTATTTTAGGGGCAAGGTTAGAGAGAGCCAGAACTGTGATCCCTCCGCTGCCAAGAGACTACCATGTGCACAGACCTGGCAACCTGCATCCCCTCAGCCTCTCCAAGGAGTTTTCCCGCAGCCATGCAAGGCGGCCCCTTGTCCTAGGGTAACCAGAATATTAGTGTCACTCAATCCTGTAGTTGTAGTTGTCTTCATCATGTTTTTGCAGTCAGCTGCACTGGTAACACTAATTATACTGAGTCACTGTCCTGTTAATGACAAATTACAAGAATACGAACAAAGAAAACAGCTGCCTGATACAGTTAATATTTTGACATGCACAAGAGGGTTTTAAGCTGGTTGCTTTTAATGTTGAATATTGTGGCTATGAGGGTGCATCATTATAGATTTCTTTTAACAATAATGAGATCACAGTTGTTACTGTTACTCATCCATTTGTGGGAACACTAGTTTGATAGCATGTAAAAACTGCAATAATAGAAAGCTGTCTTTACTTTTGCACAATAGCCAAAAAATATGGGAGAACATACAGTATCTATCATATCTTTTCACATGCAATGACTCGGTAAAAGAAAAACAATTAGAAATTGGACTTATAAGTTAGAAAAACACCAAATGCAAGGGATTTATCACAGTGGCAGTATGTGTAAGTGCATTTGTAAGCATGTTTTGTATTGTTTCATGTGGTCAATCTTAATTTTGTTTTCCAGATATGCTGACAGATTTGGATTAAACACAACTTCAGCCATTCTCTTTCCATCCACTTTAAGCCTCAGAGGCAGGAACACATTCTCAGTTGAGAGCTGCAAGCTCAGCAGGTATTTTTGCCCTTATAAACTAAATTAGACTAAACCAATCAATAGTTCTCTCACTTATTTCTCAGACCCGTGCCTCTTTTGTTGTCCTTCTGTTTTGTAGGCCTAAGGTGAATCATCCAACAGAAAACCTATTGATTGATAAAGACAATCACAAGAGTGAGTTATTTCAGTGCTTTGACTGTGAAGCTAAGATTTAAGCATGGTTTTTCCATTCTCAGGTATTTGTTGTGTTATTAACACATCTATTATTGGTTTGATTTATTGGTTGCACGTTTGTCATTGTTAATTACCTTCCTCCTTCATACAAAAAGCATATTGTCAATTCTGGGTATGTTGTTAGTTGTGGTTCATAGTAACATATGACAAGGGGTCACATGGAGATAGAGAGCATTAAGGGTTGTCTAATGGTGTGAGGATTTCTCCTGACGCCTTTTATTTCAACAGCTTGCTCCATTTTAAACTACTTTCTCTTTTATCTTAACAAAATCGCTGGTGCAACATTTTCTTTCAGATATACCCTGTTACACTGACAATACAATGAAACACACTGTAATAGGGTGAAATAAAGTGTCTAAGACTTTATCTCTTTTTGTTTGATTCTTCTCACAGAATGAGAAGATTGTAGCTAGAGAGAAGCGGGGCACTTAGAAATCGTTTTTTAAACAATGGGGTGTACAGTATATTGCAAACAGGACTGCAACACATTATTGTGAAAATACTCCTAATAATAGCATGTTTTATTTCCAGTGCATATCTGACAGTATTGTTGTCTCTTCCCCTTCCTTGTCTCTTGCCGTACAGGCCAGTCCTATCCAGACCCAATGGTCAGGGCCTCTCGTTCTTTTATCGACAGGATTTCTGAGCTGGCCGCTTTAGAGGTTGAGACAGTGAAACAAGAAAAGCTCAAGAAAATGAGGAAATCTAGAAAACTTCAGTCCTGACAATCACCTTTTTCCTGTTCACGCTGGTCAGTGATTAAAACTTCTGAGTCTGTGCCAGCAGCGCCTGAACAAAATAAAACCTTTACGGCACAGTGTTCTTTTCAGTGGCTTGTTCTCACTGCTGGTTTATCCTCAGCAATTTTAGTTTCCTGCTTAACATGGCTGGTCTTTATACTTTGGGATTCCTGACTTGAGCCCTCACTAACAGTATTTAATGCGGTAAAGTGCAGTGTTTGCTGCAGTATTAAAGCCTGACGATGAAAAATAATTAATTATTGCCATATTTCTTGTTCTTTTATCAGTATGTTGCAGATGCTGTTGGATCCCATTACAACAATGTTTTAGACTGTCATTATACACAAGCAAAAAATCTATATACATATTAAATTGTTTAGCAAAACAACTTTTGTGCCTTGATGAACATCTTCCTGAAATTAAACAAGTTTATTTTCCCTATTTTGAGAACTGTTAATCTTTTGTGAATTGTCATCTTTGTTTTCTAGCTTCTAGTGAAACATAGGCTAATAAAGGCAGCTTCACCCTCCTTCAGACTGTCTATACTGCATGAACCACCACAGTAATCACAATGCCTAAACGATTTCAATGAAGCGTAATCTACATTCCATATCTACAAAACAGATACAAAACTGTGCCTCTGGATCCTAGAATGTGGGACTTTCCCACATAACACATTGTTTTGCTGTCATATGGAGGGCAGCTCTTCTCTCTGAATAGTCTTGTTCATTGTATTACACAAAGACACCAGTGAGAGCAGTTGTCTTTTTGTTTAGAAACAAATGAGGACTCAGTTCATCATCATCATTATTTGAAGAATTTAGCAGCTTTTTTATTTCCCTGGTAATACGGACATTGTATATTCAGCCATCTCTTCTATAAAGCAACAAAAACTCCCCTAATTGTACAAAAGGCAGCCATTTCCCTGTTGTCATAGTGTGAATAACTAAAGCAGAAAAGCAGGAATCATGATTGTATTATATAAGTGAATCATGTAACTGAAGATATAAAACAAAACCCAAATGAGCCAAGATTCACCTGCTGCCATGTGAATGTATATCATAAATCATAACTGGCACAAGCTATGAAGCCAGATGCCACAGCTGCAACAAAGAGCTGACCGTCGTGTTCATCCAGTGTTTTAACACACTTGTCATGCTGTAGGTGAAAGAGATGAATCATTTCAGTTTCTCTGCTGATTTTTCAATGTGTGTTGTCTGCCCACCACAGCCATCCAGCTAGTAATCAGTATGGCATGGGGAAACAGTGCCAAGATGGCCACTCATCTGTCATGTTTAGAATGACAGGGCCCTCAGTCTGTCATGGGGCTCATTTACTGTGGAAACCAATGGGCTTAAAAATGAGAGATCCAGGCTTGGTTATCTGAAAGACTTTGAAGTGAAAGGTGTGACATTTTTATTCACTCACACAAACTAAAGACAAAAAAGACTGGAGTATGAGAGAAGAGTCAACAAAAAGTACATCAAACAGTCAATAGGACTGACATAAAATCAAGGATTGTGGCCACTATTCCACTTTGAAACTCAACTGTTAACTATTCCCAAATGGGATTTTGTCAAAAGTTGGGTTCTGTTTGTCCCTCTCCCTCACACTGGATAGTGAGGTGTGTGTTTCAGGTACACGCAGTGACCTAGAAACACAGAGCCATTCCCTTATTCATGCTAAGTGCAGAGGCTGTTTTCGTGCTCAAACAGAGGTCAGGTCTCCCTCTCCTCACTGGGTTTTTACCGTACCTACAAGTTTAGTGAAACAAAATGACCTAGAACAAACTCAACAATGAGGGCTTTAATAAAGAGCTGTACTGGGCCAGCACACGAGTGGTTTATCCTTTCACTGCAGGCCCACATAAATCTTAAGCAACTGGGACAGTACTAGACCAGAAGTACCACCCCCATTTGAATCAGTCAGGATTAATTTTGATGGATTGTAAAGGTGATAATGCAAAAATACAAGCTTATTTATTCTTATTGTTTATTCTACTTTTATTCTATTTAGTTTCTTAAATGGTATGGGGATTCAATATTAGATGAGAGAGAAACAGTATTTCGATTTTTCTGTATGTCCTGCACATATAGTGAATTGACAATAAAAAATCTTTGATCTTTATAGTATAGTATATTATTGTATTGTATTGTAATAATGCATTATTTTGTAGACCTAGGGGTTTACTTTTTACATATATTTCAAATGTGCCTACCCTCTCTGAGTCCATGCCCCAGCCTGGCCACCCCATACAAAATGTTCTAGATCTGCCCCTGCCTACTAGCACATCTAAAGTGTACAGATTGGTATTTTATAATCCCATTTGTTTAAAACTTATCTGTACAAAAAGTGTAACAACAACAACTGTTCTGAGCAGTAGTTGTCAGGAAACCAGAGGAAGGAAATAGTTTGTCTAGCCTTTTTTTTTTTTTGTAAAATGGTCAGTCCTTGTTTTTACATTTGTGCAGAATAAACAAGCTATAAGTCATTAATTTGTGAACTTTACATGTGTTGGTAGGTGGATTTTGTTATCACTTGACAGAGCTGTTGTTCCATGTCTTTGTGCTAGGCTAAGCTAACTAACCAGTCAGTTATAAGAGTGGTTTAACTCTCTGCCAGAAAGCAAATAAACCCATTTCCAAAAATGTCCAACTATTTCTTCAACACCAGTGTAGATTTATTACCGCTGGCCTCTTTGCTGCAATGCAGTGTTTATCATGTGAGCAATCTCTCACAATGTAATGTCAATACATTCTTTGTCTGTGAGAAATTAACATAAAAATCTCCATTCAGTGAATAAAAATGTCATCGTTATAAAGGCTATAACTTTGTGTGATACATTTTGTCTTGACTGTTATAGATACAGTGATAAGAAACAAATGACAGAGCAGACAAGAAGCATGTGTCAACAGGATCTCTTGGTCCAGTAGCAGTCTGTGTTTTGAGGTGGGGCATTTTCAGGTCAGATCTTTGTCTTTACAACGATATAAAAACAGCAGAGCTCAAAACTCTGTGAAATCTATGGCTACACAACTTATTGTGCCACAAATATTCACAGGTTTCTTTGTGCTCTTTCTCTAGAACCTCAAGATAATAAAAGAAGATATATTTATAATCACTTAAGAATGTTTGCATGCAAGTTTTTACAGCTTCCAGGTGAGGAGGTTGTATGATTTTCCTACCATAAATTCCTAACCTCAAAATTATCCGTTATTGTTAGCTATGAGTGAGATGTGAGATGTTTGCTATCAATAAATAAAAAAAAAAAAAAAAAAACCTGATTCTGACTCCTTTTAATTGTTAAGTTTTAATTGAGCTCATTTTATAGAGCCCTGTTGCCTCCCAGCAAGAACATTCTGGGTTCTAATCCCAACATTTTTCTGTGAATTTTGCATGTTCTCCCTGTGTCTGTGTGGTTTTTCTCCATATATTCCAGCTTCCTCCTGCAGTCCAAAGTCATGAAGGATAGGATACGCTGATGGGTGACTGAACTTTCCCATAGGTATGAATGGGAGTGGTTGTCTGTCTCTGCGTACCCTGCCTCTTGCCCAGTGTCATCTCGGATAGGCTCCAGCACCCCCCCATGACCCTCTACAGGGTAAATGGAATAGATAATAGATCCATGGAATATTAATTTTCTAAGATAGTGCTTATGTTTTGCACAAGTACATTTCAGTCAATTAAAAATGATTTAAAAACTCCTGTCTTATTATCATATAGCCTGCTACCCTATCCCCTCATGCATTAGCACATTCTTACCATTTTTCTTGGAAGTGGGATCCACTTAAAATTCAAACAACTGAAAACAACTTTAAACAAGACAGACACAGAAAACCTTTCATTCATTTTGCTTTCTTTATTATTACATTAGCACTGCTCAAAGGCCAGCCAGCATGCACCATCAGTCCTGTGTCATGGTCCTGGCCTGGATGATCGTGTTATCTGTAGTGTCATGTAGTAATTTGTAATGCATCATTAGTGAGGTGTTCTATCTGGCTTATCATGGACAATCACTGAGCACTTTATTAGGTACACCTGTACCTTTGAATACAGTCTGATGCAACATCCCTGCTATAACATCTTTATGTGGCTCGTCCTCGGGTGCAGAGAAGGCACTGCCACATACTACATGTCTCTATATTTTTCACCTGGATTTACCTGTTCAGCCACACTTATCTATTTCCCAGATTTACCTCCACCTGAAAACTACCATCTGATGACACAAGCCAAGTCAAACATCCACTTTCTCAACTGTTTAAATAGTGACTCATGCTGCTACTGCCATAGCTGGGTACATCATTTACTAGACATAAAATAAAAGACTGTCAGACATTCTCAAATGGCAAATTACAAAGACAAATGCACACTTAGATGTTACACATACCAAGTACAGACATTCAGATAAAGTATGACCACTCCCTTACAAACAAACACACCACCTATATGTATAGTTATACACATAAAGGGAGGGAGAAGGAGACTGCTGAGCTATAGATTTAAAGGATAGTAGACAAAGGCTTCCATTCATGAGATCTAGGCTGAGTGAACTTATCAAGAGGAAACTATCTTGGCCTAATTAATCTGACTAACTATAATAAAATATTTGGTTATGGTTAAAAATTTTCACAGTTGTGTAAAGTGTATGGAAAAGTGTTGACTCAAAAGTCAAAAGTAGAAATGGGTCAATTGAGAACTAAAATGGACTCAGCCATGGACCATATACCTGCATTGCCTTTAGTCAATGCCAAACTATAGAGCATTATTGTGCAAACACTTTTTTCAAGACACTACCCTACAAAGCAAAACTATTAGTGTGTATAGGCGACACAGAGACGGTTTTGTCCTGGTCGGCGGTAACATCACCAGTGTACCTTTACAACATGTGGCAAGATGAAAAGGTGACTTCTAGCGTTTGTCAACAAAACTTTTGTAACTATAGCAACCCAGGTCAGGCGTTCCCATGGAGACAGCCACAGTTTACATTCCCCATATAGATGAGATGTTAGCTAGGATTCACTCTGCCATCTCTTTGACATCCAGTGCACGGAATAGAAACTTTCAGAGTTTTATTTTCAGCTAAATTAAATCAGCTTGTCTTTGTATATGCTGCTCTTGTATTGTGGGTTTATTTGATTTTCAGGAATTCAGTCTCTGACATGGCAACTTGTGGCACAGTTTGAAGACTGTAAAGACTGTCTTGGGGTACATTAAGGCAAGCTTAATCTCCTTTCCTTTCTACTAAGATACAATAAGAAAACTCCAAGCAGGGTGTATTACTGTGGAAAGTCTGACTGTCTTTGACATATGCACGTAAGGGTAGGGAGTCCAGGGCTGGGGGTCTGTCAGATGTAAAACACATGCTTTTATAAGCCCTTCCAAGGCACATCCCATTTGTTTTTTACAAAAATAAGTATTACTAGACTTGCACTTACTAAATAAGATAACCATAATTTGAGAGATACAGTAGATGCCTTCTCAGAATGATAGTTTAATTTTTTTTTAAAGAAAAGTATAATAAGACTTCAAAAGATTATCACATAGCAAATTTAATATTTGTAGATTAAAATGACTTAAGACAGTGCACTAGCTTCTGAAGTCAGTCTTGGTTCAGCACCCTTAAACATTAATATAGTGATTCAGACACATGCCCCTTAGAGATGCTGCTGCTGGTGATCATGGTGAAGATGAAGGCTATTACTGTTGCTTGAACTACCTGCTCTATAGCTAGAAGAAGAATCAAAGAACCCCAAGAGACCTCCCTCTGCTCCCTGTCAGCTTGTTTTTCAAGACAGCAGAGGCAAAGTATCTAGATCAGTGCACAGATCTCATCCTCTTACAGCAGTGGGCCTCATTCCCTGTGACTGCTCATTGCAGAGGCATCATCTGCTTCCAGTGAGATGGAGGGGGAACTGCACAGAGAAAAGCTGACTCTTTCAGGAGTTTACAACATGCTCAATCAGGCTTCTTCAACAAAAATATGAACAGTAAAAATACTTTTCACCAGTAATCTGCAAAATCATATGTCTGGTTTGAGTGAGAGAGACAGAGTGAAGTCTTTGCTCTAGTTTAGTGGTGTACTCAAAGTCAGGATGGTCAGTTTTAAAGGCACTATTCCTTTGTTTCAATATTTGGGCAATAGGGAGATGGTTTGCCCAAAGGAGGGCCTCGGCCCACCCCAGGGGGAGGGGGCCCTCTTTAGCAATATGCTTCACAGGTTTTTAGTGTTTTAGACCAATTTGTAAAATTTAAAAACTGTATGTTATTATGTCATGCAGACTGCCAATATGAAATGCTGAGGTGTATATTCATATGAGATGCAAACTTATTAGATTATAGACTGACATTCTTTGTGAAAGTATCACTTAATATTACATAAGATTACTTTTAAATTCTGTTTATAAAAAAAATAAAGGAAGTGTAAACACAATAAGTTGTTGTTTTAGAGGCATTATGTGCCAAACCGTTTCCTGGCCCAGTGCAGTGACTTGGTGGAGGCCCTGCCATGCAACAACTTGTATTTTTAATCATCTTTAGAATTATTTTTGTGCTGATAAAATAAACAAGATAAAACAGATTAATTGGCAAGTTTTAGAGGTGCTGGTAGGCCTGATCTGACACCTTTCAACAGAAACAGGCTGTTTCCCTTTGTTTTCAGTCTCTATGCTAAGCTAAGAGAATCAACTTCTAATTTACCATACAGATATACAGTGGGTACGGAAAGTATTCAGACCCCTTAAATTTTTCACTCTTTGTTATATTGCAGCCATATGCTAAAATCATTTGTTCATTTTTTTCCTAATTAATGTACACACAGCACCCCATATTGACAGAAAAACACAGAATTTGACATTTTTTGCAGATTTATTAAAAAAGAAAAACTGAAATATCACATGGTTATAAGTATTCAGACCCTTTGCTCAGTATTTAGTAGAAGCACCCTTTTGAGCTAATACAGCCATGAGTCTTTTTGGGAATGATGCAACAAGTTTTTCACACCTGCATTTGGGGATCCTCTGCCATTCCTCCTTGCAGATCCTCTCCAGTT